GGATCCTGACGGACCTGTCGGATCCTGACGGACCTGTCGGATCCTGACGGACCTGTCGGATCCTGACGGACCTGTCGGATCCTGACGGACCTGTCGGATCCTGACGGACCTGTCGGATCCTGACGGACCTGTCGGATCCTGACGGACCTGTCGGATCCTGACGGATCCTGACGGGACCTGCCGGATCCAACATCGGAACATGCCGAAAGTTGTCGGAATTCGGTAAAATCCAGCAGCAGCCGTGCCGGATTATGCCAGAAATCCGTTGCTCAGAATCCGTGCCGGAAGATGCCGGAAAAGATTTGACCGGATCCGATAGCTTCCGACCAATGAATCTGATTTTGTTGGATGTGACAGAATGTGAACAGTTTCGAGGTGGAAAATAGTACTAAATTTTTCTTTCATTTTCTAGTGGTTCTTCTCTCTGTTTATTTGAGAGAGTGGAAGGCCCCGCAAGCTTAGAACGTGTACAACACGTCCGTTGAACAGTGTGTGAGCAATGACTCACACCATTAAGAATTTGAGAAGAAGAAAGAAAGTAAAAAGCATAAAGTGCACATCACAGGATCATCATAGGTCTCTGAGAGACCTATGGTTGTTTATTAAATTGGTTTAATTGAAGAATTAAGGTAACTGCATATGTCTCTAAGAGGGTTGTTACAGTAGTATATTGGTATAAGTCTCATAGTGAAATATGTTGAACAGTAGGAAAGTCAATATCTGTCGCTGAGTTCCTCAATATCAACAGAATATATCTCTGAGCGTATAGGTTTCTCGGAGGGTGATTCTTAGTCCTTTTAAAATAAAACATGGAGTTTTTATTCAATTGATTTAGTTAGGAAATGCCACTGAGCGACTCATAACTCACAAAGTTACACATATTTCTCCCGTTCAGATATACGGATATAGCTGATACAAACTCACTACGCCTCTTAACAGACAAACTCCCTAGTTTAAGAAAGCAGGCACACAGTAATAGTCACACTTTAAAGTAATAACTATACTAACGTTTATTATTATTGAACAAAAAATATTTTTTACATTTACAGAACATGTTTTTCTAATACACACTTGTTACCTTCTACACTTTCACAATAAAGACACAACTTTTTATTCGATTAAAAGAATTTGGACATGTCTTTAAGAGACAATCTTGGAGACTTATGTCTCTCTTAGAGACTTATACATAGCCCTGTTCGAATCAAAATACCGATTTTTGTCCGACTAAGCATACGCCTCTGAGAGACTCACATCTCACTTAGAGACTTGTCTATACAATTTTAGAATAAAGTTTCATATTTTTATTTAAATCCGTCTATATCTCTAAGTAACTCATATCTATCTTGGTGAGATATTAGCACCTCTATTTGGTTGAGTCACTGTGTCTGTACGAGCTTCACATAGCACCCAGAGACATATTGATACTGTTTTTAATTAAATAAACTTTTATTTTCAATTAAAACGCTACAAACACACGTCTCTATGTGACATGTTAAATACTACAATTAGTTAAGGAACTAATTAATTAAGCCTGAAACAACATAAATCATATATTTATGAAACTTGAAAACGAGTTTAACAGATTTCGGAGAAAAACTGTTTGATGACTGTAACCGGATTCCCTATGGGGGTATAGTTCAGTGGTATACCACTGAACTATACAGGCGAGCATTCTGTAGAATGCTCGCCTGCCACGCGGGCGATTCGGGTTCGATCGCCGGCTAGTACACCAGTGTTACCGGGTTCCCCACTTGCTCCTGTATTCGCTGATGGTTAGTACTGTTTCTTAAACATTTTATTTGAACAGCACCTTACAATAAAAATGAGAAAAAACTAAAAATAAACGGTATTGCAGGAGTATATATACATTGACGGGCAATGGAAAAAATGTATAAAAGAAAAGAAGAAAAGAAGTGTATATGATCTTGTATGAATAAACAAAGTAAACGAGGTAGTGTATTAAAAAAGAAATATAGTTGCAACGAAGAAAACTACACATGACAACAAAGGAGAGCACTGACATGTCGTCTATAAGAAAATAAGGAGTGTATCTACTAATGAGAAATATAGTTTAGAGAACGAAAACGAAGTATCTCTAACAATGACTTTCCCTTTTCGAGTCCTAATGTTTTCAGGATACTTTCTAGCACGCTTTTTGTTATTAATTTTTTTTTCTCGATATTTTGTGTTTAATGAGTTAATATAACCTCGACGTCTCCGAAAAATAATTTTGCACGGCCAACTACAGATTCAACAGTAGTAATCGCCGAGGCCGAAGCCATTTCAAGAAATAATCGTATGTTCGACTAAAACGAATATAACGATTTTTAAAGTTAGAGACGGTGTGCAACTTATGTCTTATATACTATCCGAAAAAGCTACCGGTTTAACGGTCAAAACGGGCAGAAAGAAAGTTTTTTAACGCAGTTCGCATAAGATCATAGGCGGTGAGATGAAACTGAGAAGGTTGACAAAGAAAATCGATATCTTTTATGCATTTTTTATAATTGTCAGCTTTCAAATGTGTCATTAGTTCGTCAGGTCGTATGTCGAAAACACGCAAATAGCATAGATTTTGTTGACGATATATTATTAATTAGAAACTTTTTAGTATATGTACCTTGTTCTAATTATTTCTTAATACACAAATTGAATCTCAAAAACTTATGTGTGCTGGATATAAGATTCAAATAAATCGTTTGGGTAATCTCAAGTATCTAAGATTGTACAAAGCTAAATACATCGATATTCATTTTTTACTGTTATTATTGAAAAATCTGTGTTTTATCGAACAATCCTAATATGTCCTAATCTAATTCTAAATTGATCTAGGCTAACTTGGAATTCTAGATTGCACTAGGTCAATCTGGAATTGACCCAGTCTATATTAGAATCGACAGATGCAGGCATCTCAATCCTAAGTTGGCCTAAGTCAACTTAGAATTTCAAGAAGACCTAGACCAATCTGGAATTGACCTGTAACATATATATAGAAAGATATTCTTTGAAAAGTAATTATATATACTGAAGCGCTCGGAATTCTCTAGCAGTGTCTGCTTTCCCGACGTGGATTAGAAAGTATTTGCTGGTAAAAATTTTTAATATCTTTAATGGACTCTTAGTATTTTCTATTTTTCTCGTGCTTCTTTAGGACCCTAAGGTTAATGTTTTTTTCAAAAAAAGCGCCGATAAATACTCTAGAAAACCATACCTAACCTTTAATTTCAGAATGTCAATCAAGAAAACTACGCAGATTATACAAAGACGAAAAAAATGAAAACTTTAAAAATCTGGTGTTTTTTTTCTCTTGAATCTTTTTCTTCTGCTATCATTTCCGTGAAAAAGGGTGCAAAAGTGAGAACTGAGTTCTTTTTGTACTTTTGAATGTGCTCTTTCTCGTAGCCTCTAAAAAAAGAAGAGTTATCTGAAGAAACATGGAATAAAACCTGTGGGAATGTGCTACGTGGATACATTAACAATATTCAAAATATTTGTCCGCAAATAACTGCAAGTCAGGACCGACGACGTAAACAATCTGCTATGTCTGAGCAGATACGAATGGCACGAATATAAGCAGCATATGAAATGTTCTTTATTATATGCCTTGGATGTATACTATCATACGGTAATACATATGGTTGTGCCGCTGGTTTTCGATTGACTATCGTTCGTGCCGTCTTACAACGTACAAAGATTGTGACATACAGAGAATTAGCAGTCTTGCCTATCTCATATGTTAATTTTATATATGGGTCTTTTTCGTTGTAAAATTTTAATCTATCCTCAAGTTGTTCTGGCCTCAACCTTGAGGTGGTAAAAATATCGTCTCTAAAACGCAGGTATAACTGGTGTTCAGCAGTCTGCTGTGCTAAGAAGTCTTTCTCCCATTCATACATATATACGTCTGCCAATACCTGAGTTACAGCGCTGCCCATGGCACCTCCATTTATTTGTTTGAAGGTTTTTTTTCTATATGCAAAATATGAGTTGTCTAACACATGTCGAATCAACTTTGCGAAAGTGGCAATTGATATGTTACCAATTTTAAACTTTCTACGCACTGCTAGTAGTCTACACACCGCGGAAACTGACTGTTTCTGGGGGATCATCTTATACAAATCAGTTAC